CTGGAGGGTGGGGGGCGTGGATGGGGCGGTGGCTCGGCTCCCTGCGGCAGGAGCTCGTCCCTCTCGCCGTGGGAAGACTGGTGCCGGTCCCCGGCCAGGATAGGGCCCTGTGACCGCAGCACGGCAGGGGGCAGGGACCGGGTCAGCAGGAGTCCAGCCCGGAGGGGAGGTGATCCTGGTGCGAGGAAGAGTCCATAGGGTGCCTATGACCTGGTTGGGCCAGCTGCTGCTTCTGCAGCACAGCCAGGTCTCTGAGCCTGCTGTCTTCCCTCCCAGGCGATGGCTTCTCAGACTGGATGACGGAGAGGGGGGGGTTCTCTCTCCTGATGGAGTCAGGGGACCCATCGCTGCCTTCATCCCCACTGCCCGATCTGGAGGCCATGGCCTCCCTGCTAAAGAAGGAGCTGGAGCAGATGGAGGATTATTTCCTGGAGGAGTCGCTGTCCCCCAGCTTAGGCCTGGCCCCAGACCAAGTGGCCCCCAGCACGCCACCCTCCCACCAGCCTTCCTTCCACTTCCCCTTTGGCGATGCACCAGGGCCAGCAGACTCCTTCCCTCCCTTTGGCAACAGCTCCACCTCACTGCAGACCCTGGATTCTGGCTGCCTAGAGCTCCTCACTCTCTATGGGGCAGAGGTGCCAGGGGAGTGCCAAGGCCAGGGCCTGCTGGAGGAGCAGATAAGCAACCCATCTGCCCCCAAGCTGAGCAGGCTTGGGCCATACAAGCAGCCAGTGGCCCCCTGTGCACCAGCCCCACCCCAGCCGCAGCAGAAGGGTGACCGCAAGCAGAAGAAACGGGACCAGAACAAGACAGCAGCTCTGCGCTACCGGCAGCGGAAACGGGCAGAGTATGAGGCACTGGATGATGAGTGCCAGAGCCTAGAAGCTAGGAACCGGGAGCTGAAGGAAAAGGCAGACTCCATTGAGCGCGAGATCCAGTATGTCAAGGACTTGCTCATTGAGGTCTACAAGGCCCGGAGCCAAAGACTCCGCACCACTTAAGGCAGGGTGTGTGGCTCTAGCCTTGGGGACACGGACCCATGGGGGTAGGTCTGCCTTAGGGTACCCAAAAGGGAGCTGGTGGGAGTAAGTGGGGTTGTGTAGTAGGTAGGTAGCTAGCTAGATAGTGACTGCCCTCTTGTGTTACATGCATGTAGTACAGCCCTGGCAGGGAAGCATGCTGCAGAACAAGGAAGTTTTCCTAGTATCACATGGGCACTGATTCTGCTAATGTGCCTCTTTGCCAGGGTAGAGTGCAGGTGCTAGTGCTGGTGTGAAGAAGGTGGGAGAAGTGTCCTGGTGTGGAGAAAAAGGATGTGGTGTAGAAAGAGATGGTGGCAAGACAGGAAAGAAGGGGCAGGAGCAGTGGAGACAGGCAGAGCCTTTTTTTATAGACCACAACCTGCTGCTGCTTTTTCTAGTGTAAAAGCCAATAAACACTGTTCTGCACTTGCTATTGTGAGTGAGAGGTTATATGTCTTTGGAAGTAGGGCAACTACTGTCAAGCTGTACCCCTGGCAGCTAAAGCAGGGCACTCAGACCTTCAGGCTTGACAAGGAAAGAGAGTATTTTATTGTAAGTGATGGTGTTCCTTGCAACCAAACAAATGATGCCAACAAGCCCCCTCCACCCCCGTGGCTCAGTGCTCCAGTACCTCTAGTAAGGAAAAAGGGAAAGCACTGGCTCTAGGTACTGTCCCATGCCCAGCTGTAGTTGCAAGGGCCATTGGAGTTTGCTTCTCCTCACTGCAGCTGTACCGCAGTGTTAATAGAAGTCGTCTTCTCCCTCACCCCTCCCTGCCAGCTGCTGGTTTTGAATCTGCTGCTGCTTCTTGTAGAGTTCAGCTACCTGCAGGGAAGGGGAAGGTGAAAGGAAAGGCAAAAGTTTGCTTGAGTACTGCTGAACACCATATGCTGGTATTTAAGCCTCAACTCTAAAGATGGCTAGCCCTTTGCCATATCCTGTCTTGTCTTTTGGAGTCTTCCAAGGACGGCCTTCCCACCTTGTGGGAAGGCTAAGTACAGACCAGGACAAGGCCAGTGCATGAAATTGTTCTATGTCCAGCTGGAGCGAGACCTCCCTCCCCACCCCTGCCACAGTACCTGGGTGCTGGTAGTGGCTTCCTCAGCCGTCTTGTCATCACGAACACGCAGAAAGCGGGGAAAGCGCAAGGAGATACCTTTCTCCTCATCTACCTGGGGAGGGGTGACAAAGGAGCCAGTGAAATGTGGGCAGCAGCAGACCCCAAGCACACTGGGATGCTTTGGACTGGTGACCCCTGGCCAAGAGTGGGTCTCCTAGAAGAAAGATCTCAGGCTTGTCCCATGCAGTAGGACTCATTTCCGCCACCATGCACAGAGCCAGTGCAGGTCCTCTTTAACTCACCAGGCCAATAGCTGCCTTATGCACAGGCGAGATGGACAGGTCAGCACACTTCACCTCCCACACCTGCACTGCATCTAGCCAGTGGTCAGGCTCTGCACTGCTGTCCCAGCGGTAATAAGCTCTTGGCTTCTCCAATACAAGGTCCTGCCTCAGCAAAAAGGAAAGGTTAGCAGTCAAGTTACTCACAAGGAGGTTAGAAACCCTGCTCCCCCCTACAGACATTGCCTGCTCCAGGCAGATGTAAAAAATACTGCATATCCTCAGAGCCATGGCCTGTAGTTCTTCACTAGCAGGATACATTTGTGCACTCAGTAGGGTAAGTGCACTTTGAGGCATTGTAAGTGCTCTGAAACCAGGCCCTGCAAGTTGAGCAGTCTCTATGCTGGGCTAAACCAGGATTGGAAATAGGTCCCTCATGCAGTGAAGGAAGCCTCCTTTAAATAGTGCTCCTACCTTAAGAAAACTGTAATGCTTCTCCAGGGTCTCTTCACTGAAGCCAGTTCCTATCTAAGATAGAAGGGGCAAGGCACTGCTGTTAATTTGTCACAGTCCTCCCAGGCATGCTTACTCTCACTCACTGGGTTCCCCATGCTGCCCAGCAGTGCCACATAGACAGCACCTGCCTAGACCCCAAATACAGCAGATGGGGGAACAGCCCCCTTCTATCTATGCTCCCCAATACACACACGGACAGAGACACAGACATGTACAAGCACAGACACATGCATGTGCAGACGCACATTCAGACACGTGTGCACACACACAGAAAGACATACGCACACAGATGCAGAGACATGCATGCATACATTACTGTGCTCCCCCGCCCAGTCCAGGAAGGGAGTTGCCATAGTCCGCATACCTGCACTCTGGCCCAGCAGTTACAGAAGGCTTCTCTGAAGATTTTTTCCTAAATCCATACCCAGCCCTCACCTCCAAGTCACAGCACCTGCCCTGGGTGCAGGACAATATGGGTGTCTGGGGACCTGCCCCCCTTTGCAATGAGAGCCTAGTCGCACCAAAACCCTGCCTCATAGGAACCACCAGCATAATTCTTACCTTGCAGATGCTCTGGTACTCCTCACTCTCCTCATCATAGCAGGCCAGCAGGAAGCCTCCATACATGCCCACACGCTTGCCTTTCCCTAAGTAGGCACCAATCACCACCAAGTCCAGTGTGTCTCCAACACCCTCCAGGTAATCCTTCTTCAACTGGCAAAACAGAAGCTACTATAAGCAACTATACCAATGGGAAACAGCCTTTTTCCTCCAGAAGGCACCAGATCTGATCCAAGGCCTTTCTTCTGTAGGGGCATTAGTCCCATCTGACCCAAGGGCAATAGTACAGTGCCCAGCCATACTTAGCCAAGGACAGTCTGTTACACCCAAGGAAAGGGAAGGGCAGGTGTCTCACATCAAGGGAGGAAGCAGCTTAGGATCTGTTGTATCATGCCACCCTGTGCTCCCCACACCACCTTCACTACTCTAGAAAGGAGCTGCCATGGGACCAGGCAGCACCTGAGCACCCAAACAGGTGATCAGCTCTTCCAGTTCCCTGCCACTGCCCTCCACTTGGAATGCCCTGATCCCCTCTTGTCCATCTCACCTTCAGCCATTTATGGGATCTCTTGGCAATCTCATATGTGGCATCCACGTCCAGGGTCTTGACCATGAGCCCCTCACAGGAGTCTAAGAGAAATCCATCAGTTGCTGGGACCTTCATTGTCTATGCACAGGGTGGCATAACCCCACATAATACCCTTACTGAATACTGAGGCTCAGCCCCCACCAGCAAACAAGAAAGTGCATGTTCCTGCTCACTTACCCAATATTTAGTGTGTATCCCACCCCCACACAGTAGAGGATTAATACTTCTCCCTCCAGCAGACAGGAGGCACATTCACTATTCCTCAGTCACTGAACACAGAGTTTCTATCCACCTTCCCCCCAACCCCAAACCAGGCAACCAGGTAAGTGCTAGGTGCCAGCTTACCTTTGATGGACTGGTCAAGGAACTCCGAGATCTCATCTGTATTGCATGTGTCCATGGAAGTGGCAAACAGGAACTCCCCCTCTGTCTCCACAAACAACTCATGCAGCAGCTGCCGGCGCCTGGAGAAGGGCTGCTTCACCAGGGACTGCAGAAGAAGGGGACAGGGAGCCAGGGTCATAGGTGTGGCAGAGGGACAGGATGTGGGAAAGAGAGGCACCTGTGCACAGGGACCATGAAAAGAATGCCCTAAAAGCTCTTCTGGGGAGACTGACTCTCAAAAATAGATACTCCCAGCATTGCTGGGGAGATGGAGAGTGCCAGACAGTTAAGGGTGGGGTAGTGGGATGAATGATGCTGGGCAGATTCAGAGTTCCAGGGCAGTCAGCAAAAGGTATGGATGGGGTATGACAGAGAAGAGAGGTCAGGGCAGGGACAGTGCAAGGGAAGGACATATGGCGGGGGTTCAGGGGCAAGTTTAGGGATTAGGTCCTCACCTCCCCAAAGAGGTACGGCATGCCCAAGGAAGTAGGGTGGGGGAGGGGCCGCTCACCTCTCCATTGAGGTACAGCATGTCGAAGGCATACAGACACACCTGCACTTTGATCTCAGCAGCTTCCACATCCTGTGGATACAGGCCCAGTGTGAAAAGACCACCGACTTTATACTTCAGGGTCTGGGTCCTGGCTCCACCACACCCCCAGCACCACGCTCTCCAGCATCAAGAATCATCCCCCTTTCATCCTACTGCACATTGCAGCTGCAGGGAGGGGCATGAGGGTTCACAAGCAACCTGCCAGCAGGGGATCTACTTCTCCCCCCTCTCCCACTCCTGGTCCACGGGACCTCCTTACTTTCCGCTTCCGGGTAGTCAACACCTGGAACGGCTGGATCTGCTTCTTCTCAGGGTCCCAGGCCACAGCCTCTGTGTCCAGGATACATGACTGCACGCTGTCTTTCTTCACCTACAATGAATGGATACAGTATCAGCACACAGTTAGCTCCTGACACAAGCAGGGTCTGGTTGGCATGCATGGGGGGCAGGCCAGGGGAGAGAGGGGTGTGGGAGGGACAAGGGAGGAAGAGAGTCAGGTGCACAGGCCATGTAACTGCAAGGGGAGGGAAA